ACTCCCCTGTGCCAGGCTTCTTGCTTCCCTGTGCCAACCCTGGAATCTGAGCTGGTGTGGACATTTGTCACCGGATGCCTGGAAGATACGGGTTTAGACCAAGGGATTGGTTTTTTTTTTTTTTTTTGGTTTTTGGAGACAGGGTTTCTCTGTGGCCTTGGAGCCTATCCTGGAACTAGCTCTGTAGACCAGGCTGGTCTCGAACCACCTGCCTCTGCCTCCCGAGTGCTGGGATTAAAGGCGTGTGCCACCATTGCCCGACTAGACCAAGGGATTGGGAAAGGACACTCTCCAAACTGATAAGCAGCGTGCTCTCCTGCAGCTATCTGTGAGTCATTTCTACTCCTGTAAATAACCCCTCACCCATATGCCTGTAACTAGCTCCAATAAAACTCACAGGTTCCCCCAGTTGGACTTTGGTGGTGTCCATATCAGTCCGAGTAGACGTGTGTTGTGTCTCCCCAGGAAAGGTTTTGTTGCCCAACATAATTGGCGCCTGGATAGGGACTGCAGAAGATGACTTGGGTAGGAGTGCATGTGTGGTTCTGGCTACGGGTAGCAAGCCATGCAACTGAGACGGTTGCTAAGCAGCCTGAGGGGGCAGCATCTGCCGAGGAAATCCCACTAGAGTTGTCCTTTCCGGTCCGGTGTGTATTCGTGTACCTTTGTTCATGACAGGGGTTGCATGGTTCTTGCTATGGGAACTGAGACATGCAACTAAGGCTGAGCCATCAGGATGAGGAGTGTCCGTGGAAGAAACCCCAGCATGGCAGTCTTTGTGTGGTACGGGGTGGCATGCCCACTTGATGAGTGGGGTCCACCGTGTGAATATGGAGATTCCTTGACAAGAGTTACCAGTTTAGAGGAAAGTTTTCAGTCTTTGAGATTAGTGCACAGGAGTCGGGATTATGTGTAACAACGGCAGAGGGTGCCTGGCCACTGCTGTGCAGTTAGAAACACATCTGGAACAGCTGCCAAGCCGGAGCTTAGCTCTGTAAAGGAGTTAACTGCAGCGAGAGAGGGAAATGCGGCGGAATCCTTCATGTTAGCCTCTGATATGGTGGGTAGATTAGATAAAGGAGACAGGGACATGGAGGTGTTGACTTATCCCTTCTTAAGGCTGGGGGGCCAGAAGAAAAAGAGAATCAAGAACGTAGAATCCAGGGAAGATCCAGAGAGTGAGGAGGAGGAGAACATCACAAAAGAAACAGAAGATGCCTCTCAGGCCCAAGCTTTAATAGAAAACGGGGATCTATCACCCATCATGTGGATTGGGGCATTACCAATGTCCAGGGGTGGTAATCAGGGAATAATCAGCACTCTGAGCTGCTGGAACCGGGGAAGACTTTTGTTTTGTTTTGTTTGGTTTGGTTTGGTTTTTTTTTTTCGAGACAGGGTTTCTCTGTGGCTTTGGAGCCTGTCCTGGAACTAGCTCTTGTAGACCAGGCAGGTCTCGAACTCACAGAGATCCGCCTGCCTCTGCCTCCCGAGTGCTGGGAGTGCTGGGATTAAAGGCGTGCGCCACCATTGCCCGGCTCGGGGAAGACTTTTAAACAAGCAATGAAGGAGCCTGTCGCCACCTGGCTTCCGAAGCTGTGGGACAAGGGGGTGAACGGGATCAGTATGCCTGCTGCCGAGGCAGGAAAAGTGAACCCATCCCTCCATAAGGAAAGGCTGCATAACCTGAGACAGTACGAGGAAAGTCAGTCCCTCAGGGACATTAGGGACACTCAGTTATTTCCATCTGAGGTCCCCATAAATATCAGGGGTTGGAAGACCAGGAGGTGCAGATGCTATTGAGGGAACTGTGTTTGAACCCCAGAGGAGTTAAGGAAAAGGCTGACCCATCTGGTGCCTTGAGGCTGGTGTGGAGCTTTAGTGCCTTTGCTGAGTCTGCTGGTATGGACAAGATGTTTATTAAGTAGGAAAGGCTTTGGCAGACCTCAGTGACTCAGACCAGAAGAGAGTTTGTAAAGCGGGGAACAACCTACGGGACTTAGTAAAGTGGTAACGTGGAGGAAGATGTCTGTCTGGGCTACTTAAAGACAGATGTGGCAAGATTTGTGTCGACAGGCTAACAGATTGGATAAGAAAACAGAATCCATCCCTCTGCTGCATACAAGAAATACACCTCAACCTCAATGACAGACATCGCCTCAGAGTAAAGGGTTGGGAAAATTTTTTCAATCAAATGGACCTAAGAAACAAGCTAGCATAGCTATCCTAATATCTAATAAAATAGACTTCAAACTAAAATCAATCAAAAGAGACAAAGAAGGATATATCATATTAGTCACAGGAAAAGTTATCAAGAAGAAATCTCAATACTGAACATCTATGCCCCAAATACAAGGGCACCCTCATATGTAAAAGAAACACTACTAAAGCTTAAATCATACATCAAACCCCACACTAATAGTGGGAGACTTCAACACTCCACTCTCACCACTGGACAGGTCAGTCAGACAAAAAATTAACAGAAATAAGGGAACAAACAGATGTTATGACTCAAATGGACTTAATAGACACCTATAGAATATTCCAGTCAAACATAAAAATGACATCTTGAAATTTGCAGGCAAATGGATGGATCTAGAAAACATCATATTGAGTGAGGTAACCCAGACACAGAAAGACAATTATCATATGTACTCACTCATAAGTGGCTTTTAGACATAAAGCAAAGAAAACCCGCTTACAATTCACAATCCCAGAGAACCTAGACAACAATGAGGACCCTAAGAGAGACTTACACAGATCCAATCTACATGGGAAGTAGAAAAAGACAAGATCTCCTGAGTAAATTGGGAGCATGGGGGTCTATGGGAGAGGGTAGAAGGGAAGGGGAGAGGAAGAGAGGGGAGCAAAGAAAAATGTATAGCTCAATAAAATCAATTAAAAAAAAAGATTTGTGTCCATCTGGAGTTCCCAAGGAGAAAACTGATAGGAAGCCAGACTGTGTGCTGAGGAGCTTCCGGAAGGCTGTAGAGCCCGATATGCAGTTTCTAGAAGATATTGCTGACAGCGCAGCACACGCGAAGACGGTCAAGTCTGTGCTGGGAAATATGCCCCCCAGCAAAAGGTTATGGTAGGGGTGGAGCTGGTTTCCCAGTCAAGAAGTCCCCCAAGAGCCTGGCGGTGGTGGCGCACGCCTTTAATCCCAGGAGGCAGAGGCAGGCGGATCTCTGGGAGTTCGAGGCCAGCCTGGTCTACAAGAGCTAGTTCCAGGACAGGAACCAAAAGCTACGGAGAAACTCTGTCTCGAAAAATAAAAAAAAAAAGAAAGAAAGAAAGAAAAAAGAAAAAGAAGTCCCCCAAGAGCCAGAGCCAGGTATGGTGAATGGGAAGGGTACCGCTACAGTGGTAACCCAAGCTGACAGAGGGAGCCAATGAGTACAGCAGGGTACTCATTCCCCTTCGGCCACCCGGTGTAGGTCTGAGCAGATTAACTGAAGCCCACTGAGTTTATCAGGGATGGAGAAATGTGGGAAGGCCCCACGGAAGACCTTCAGGATATGGTAATGTGCAGGCTCAGAGAGACCCTCTAACGATCACAGGGAGCTAATTAGGTTAGCTATCATCCACACACTGTACCGACCTTGATCTGTGGAGGGAAATGATCCAAATGGATGGAATGGCCGTGCTGTGCCGTGCCGTGCCATGCCGCGCCTTATTAGACCTCGCGGATGTTTGACTCCAGTACTTCTTGGTTGTTAATCCCTAGGGTCACCTGTCACTTGCTGAGAACAGACGTCAGTAACTTCCGGAATGCCTCAACAAGGTTGTCTTTGTTATGGGACGGTGGTTCAGGATGCGACCTTGGCCTGCATCCAAGGAAAAAGGTTTGTTCTATGGATGACGGGATGCTAACCTCCGAGTGTTTCGCAGATCTGGCAACCAGGGGTGGGCTGCCTTCCTGTGGCCAGGGAAACCCCTGAGGTCCCTCAAGCCATAAAGGCTGTGGCGGCTGTTGTTGTTGACTGTTGTTGTTTGTATACTAAAACTAGACAGTAGAGCCTTTCGCTGAAGACACTGCATTGTGTGTGCTCTAACTGTAGGATGTGGAGAAATTAAAAGCTGGGACCAAACCGGAAACTCCCACCTTGCTGCGTCCACCACGTTTAGCAAGCCTAGGGATCTTGCTGTAATGGAACAGTACTTTAGAAACAGCATTGTATTTGTTTTTATGGCTGTCTTCCTCTAGCTACACTATTCTGATTGTCCTTTTCTTTTTAATATAAAGTGCCACTATGTAGCCCACGCTAGCCTCCAACTCTGGATCGATCCCCCTTCAGCTTCCCAAGTGCTGGAATTATAGGCGTGAACTACAAAGTCTCACTGGCTTCCTCCCTCCTTTTCTTTTATGAGACAAGAGCTTGCTATGTAGCCCAGGTTAGCCTTGAACTCACTGTCCTCCTGCATCTGCTTCCCAAATGCTGGGATTATAAGTGTATGCCATCCTCTGCTAATAGAGGGAATTGACTGAGACCAGCCTGAGCTACACAAGACTCTGTTTTAGACGAACAAGAAAAGTTACAGGCAAGATGTAGAATGCAAAGTTCAAATCACAAGCAGGACAGACGAGATTCTTCCCTTTATTTTCCATGTTCTGTTTCTTACTTGTCAACACAGGTATAAAATCTGCCTGGTTGTGTTAATAAAGGAGGAGCAGGGAGGGCAGAGAAATGGCAAGGATCGAGATGCCACAGTGGGCCAGCAGGTCAAGTGGGGTAGGAAGTCGCCTGGGGAGCCAGGGAGGGCCCCTCCACCTGGCACACCTCCCCAGACGGTCCCTGCCTTATACGATTTGGTAAACATGGTTTACAGCCTTTCTGACACCTCCAGTCCTTATCCCCAACATTCTTCTCACATATCAGCCAGGAGGTAAAGTCTCCTCTGACCACCCAGGGGAACAGTAAGGAGGTACAGATGACTTGGGAGCTTCTAATGCCCGTAGTCTGGGCTCCTGAGGAAGGAAGGTTTGACCTTCCACGCAGAGCAGAACTTCCTGACTTTTATTTGCACATTGCCCCCATGGCCACTGTGACCCTGTGTCTATGAACATATGAATTTGCACCAGAACTACGTTCACCCTTCGGCCTTTCATTCCAACAAGTATTTTCAAGGTTTGTGTAACTTACGACAATCTATTGCCTGGACCAAGTTCCTTGCATTGTGCAAGCCAGTTTCCTTTTCCCCCCTCTTTTTTTCTTTCTTTTTCTTTTTTTGAGGCAGAGTCTCAGGTAACCCAGGCTATCCAACTCACTATGTGGCTGAAGATTACCTTGAACATCTGATCCTCCGGCCTCTACCTCCCAAGTGCTGGTATTACATGTGCCAACACACATGTTTCTATGTTTCTGTGATGCTTAAGAGGAAACCCATCCTTGTGCTAGGCAAGCACTCTGCCGGCTGAGCTACACCATCTGCCCCCTTTTCAGTTCCTCCTTAAGTATGCAGAGTGATCCATTCGGTCCCCAGCTCCCACACACGCTGCGCATTTCACGCGAGTTCTCAGTCCAGTTTTCCAAGGAAGGCAGTGGGGGGAGCGGGGGGGGGGGGATCGGGTAGTAGCAGTCTTAGTAGTTTCTCTCACCCACATGGAGTTGTTCTCTTGTGCAGGTTTAGAGGGAAGGAAGACTGAATCAGTGGACTTGTGCATTGTGGGGGTAGGTCTGGGAAAAGATGGACGTCTTTCTTTCCTAAGGATAACTCAAGATACCCAGAAAGACCTCAAACTAGGGTTAAGATCATGACCTAGGGTCAAGGTGTGGTTGGCTCTCACACCACTCAGGGCTTCCCAGATGCAGAAGCCTTTTTGGCCCTTGTGGAGACTCTTGAGGGCGCTTGCCTGGAGGAGCGCTGCAGGCCCAGACCTCTGGGGCGGCCTAACCCGTGCTGCAGTCGCTCGTGCTTGCGGATCTGCACCTTGTGCTGGAAGCGCTCGCCGCAGTCCTCGCACGCGTGGAGCCGCTCACCCGAGTGGGTGCGGCGGTGGCGCAGCAGGTTGGAGGAGACGCTGAAGCACTTGCCGCAGTCGGCGCAGACGTAGGGCCGCTCGCCGGTATGGGTGCGCTGATGCTGCACAAGCGCCGAGCTCTCGCTGAAGCGCTTGGAGCAGTAGGTGCAGGCGTAAGGCTTCTCGCCGGTGTGGATGCGCTGGTGGATCACCAGGTTAGAGTGTTGCGAGAAGCCCTTGCCGCACTCGCTGCAGAGATGTGGCCTCTCCCCAGTGTGCGTGGCCTGGTGTCGCACCAAGTCCGTGCTGCGGCTGAAACCCTTGCCACACTCCCCGCAGATGGTAGGCCTGTCCCTGCCTCGCCGCTTCTTGCGCTGTTTTGTGGGCGTCCGAGCCTCACTCCCTGTGGGGCCCGCGATGGTCATCATAGTGGATGTGGCCACAGTGGGCAGTACCATGAGCTCTTGCAGCACCACATAGCCTGGAGGGGCCACCACGTAGGAGACTGGAGCTGATGCTATGCCACCTCCTGGAGTGGGAACCAGCTCCAGCTGCAGCTCCGGCTGCACAGAGGTCAGCTGCAGCTCCTGATGCTGGGCGCTCAGTTCCACCGGGGCTAGCTCCAAGTGTACCTCCTGTTGCTCCAGCTGCTGCAGCTGCTCCAGCTGCTGCTGTTGCTTCAGGTGCTGCTCCAGCAGATGCAGTTGCTCCTGCAGTTTTAGCTTCAGCTGTTGTTGTTCTTGCAGCCTCTCCAACTCCTGCCGCCGCTGCTCCAGCTCCTGCTCTGACCTTATGCCCAATGGCATAAGCTCCAGTTCCGCATCTTCTTCCTCCTCTGGCTCCAGTGGAGGAGGCTGCAGCTGCTGCTGTTGCAACAACGGTTGCTGCTGCAACTGTTCTTGCTGCAGCAATAGCTGGTGCTGTATCTGGACCTGCTGCTGCTGCAACAGTTGTTGCTGCAACTGTGCCTGCTGCTGCAGCAACAGCTGCTCTATATGTCCCTGTGGCTGCAGCAACAGTATCTGCTGCTGCAACTGCTGCGGTTGCAATTGTCCCTGCTGTTGCAACAGTTCCTGTTGTTGGAGCAGTAGCTGCTGCTGTAACTGCTCCTGTTGATGCTGCTGCAACAGCTGTTGTCCTTGTAATTGCTGTTGCAATGCTTGTTCTTGCAACTGCTGCAGCAGCAATTGTTCATGTTGTTGCAGTAGTTGCTGCTGTTGGAGAAGCTGCTGCTGTGACTGTCGTTGCTCTTGCATTGGCTGCTGTAAAGGCTGCTGCTGCAGCAAAGCCTGTTCTTCTACTTGCTGCTGCAATACCTGTTGCTGTTGCACATGCTGCTGCACAAGTTGTTCTTGTACTTGCTGCTGCTGCAGCCGTTCTTGCTGCTGTAGTAACAGCTGTTGCTTTTGGCCTTGGGGCTTCATAATCATCCACTGCTGCTGCTGCTGCAACAGCTGTTGCTCTTGTTGCTCCTGTCCAAGTCCTGAATGCTGCGCCAGCTGCAGTTGTGGTTTTGGTTCCTGATGCTGCTCGGACTGGAGGTTTTCCTGTAGCTTTTGCTGCAACTGAGACAGCTACTGCTGCCCATCCTGCTGCTGCAGCAATTCTGGTTAAGGTCCTAACATTTGAGCAGCAAGAGGCTGCTGCTCTTGTAACTGCTTGTGCTGCAGCTGTTGTTCCAGCTCTTGCTGCTGCTCTAACTGCTGCAGATGCAAGTCCTGTTGTCCCAGCTGCACCGCCCCAATGCTGTTACTGGCCCCTACTGGGGCTTTGAGTGCTGGTGGCTGTGGGCTGCTGCTCATCTCCTGAGCCTCTTCCTCCTCCTGGCTCTCACTCCCACTACTGCCATCTGTAGTGGAAATGGCAGGAAGCCAGGATCGGTGGACAGCTAACCTGGACCACAAACCCCCAAAAGAATGTATTCAGGATCCACTAAGGGGCTCTTAGCAGGGACCCAAAAATGAGGGATTGAGTGGCAATGATGATAGGACAGAGATTTCCAGAGTTTCATGGGTCACCTCATTCAGACTCCCTCTGAGCCTCCCTCATGCAAGCCTCATGCATTGATACCAACAGAGCTTTGGGCTCCTGGCACCATTCCCAAATAGGTCTCTAGTGCTGACTTCCTTCCTAAGCAGGAGAAACCAGATTTTGCAGTGGTGATTTCTGACTCCATTTATGGTCACACTTTATTCATTCATTTGTTCGTTCATTCATTCATTTGTTATTTTGTTTTTTTGAGACAGGGTTTCTTTGTGTAGCCTTGGCTGTCCTGGAACTAGCTCTGTAGACCAGGCTGGCCTTGAACTCAAAGATCTGCCTGCCTTTGCCTCCTAAGTGCTGGGATTAAAGGCGTGTGCCACCATGGTCCAGTGATGGTCACACTTTAAATAAGTGAAATTTGCCTTGTCTATGAATAGTGAGCATTTCTGTAAAGATACAGCAAGCCATTTCTAGAAAGCGCAGAAGGAATTCTGGGGTCAGGTAGGGAGTTCGTGGTTCAGAATCGGACTGAAAAACCAGGCACAGCAGCCCACTTGTAACTCCAGCCTCAGAGGGTGGAGAGAGGGGATCCCTGGAGGAAGCTGGCTGGCATGAGTAGCCGTATGGGCAAGTTTTGGGTCTGATGGAGAGACCCTGCCCATTGACTAAGGTGAAAGAACGATCAAGGATGATTCATGACATCAATCTGGGGCCTCCAGATGTGCACATATCAACCACACACATGAGTTCCCAAACACATATATGCATACATACACACCACATACACACATACCAAAAAATTGTGTAGTAATTATCTTTTAGGGAAAAAATTCTTTCCAACCATTTTTGTTGATCTTTTTTTAAAAAACCTGTGTCTTGTGTGTATGTGCATGTATGTTCATGTTTGTGCTTATGGGAACATATGTGCCACAACACACCAGTGGAGGTCACAGAACAACTTTGGGTGTTGGACCTCACCCTCCACTTTGAGGCAGGGTCTCTCGTCTGCCATCGCACAGGCCAGCCAGGCTAACTGGGCCTGGAGACTCCAAGGGATTCTCCTGCCTCCGCCTCCCATTTTACCATAGGAATGCTGGGGTTGCAGAATGCTTGTTTCTAGGGATTTGAACTCTAATCCTGAAGCTTTTCCCGCTCTTTTTCCTCCCCAGTACCTTGGGTGTATGTTTCAGACAGACTTCTACAGAACAGCTGGGATGTTAGGTGGTGGATGAAGACGGCCATGGGAACCTGTCACCACAGTGAGTTCAACTCCATCTGCAGGGACAGACCTCACCTCTGGGTGAATCTCCACAGGGCTAGCTTGGTCACGTGGTCCCTTTGCATTCCTGGGCAGCAGTTTCCACAGAAGCATTTTATTGGCCATGTAGTTAGATGTCACTTGAAGTGTATGCCTGCTGGAGTTAAATTCACAATCGGAAAGAGTCTTTGTTCAATTAATATATTCCCATTTTATCATTTTATTCTCCCAAATTTCCTGACAGTCTCTCTTGTTCATTCTCTCCACCCCGTTTCTGTCTCTCCACAATAGTGTCTCATTGTATAGTCCTTGTCTGGAACTCATTGCACAGCCCAGGCTGTCAAACTGTGACCCTCTTGCCTGAGCCCCCCAGGTTCTGGGATTCCAGTTATATGTCACCATCATCAAACCCTCCCTGGTTCTTTCTTAACGCCCTTAAAGCTGCCCCCCCCCTCACTGTCACTCACCACAGAACGTGAACACTAACTCTCATCCACCCTTGAAGGCTCCCCCTGCGTGGGGCTCAGGGACAACCCTGGAAAGTCCCACAACACCAGGGGTACCTGTGTGGCTCGGGGAAGGAAAGGGATGGGACAGATGTTGAGGAAATGGGACCCAGGGTCGAGGTCACTACAGACAAGGAGCCATGCACCCAACGTCTGAAACATCAGAGATGGAAAATCCCTCCAGCTCCATGGGAGACAGTGGAGGCCATCTGGGAAAAGCAGGTTAAAGCCAGCCCAGGTGTGGGGGTCAGGACTGAGGTTACCGAATCTGTCTCCTGCAAGACTTTGGCCTCAACAGTTCCAGGGTAGTGAGGTTAGCAGGTATGAGTGAGTGCACTGTTGGCAACACAGGGCTCCCTCTGCTGTGGCCTGGGCTGTACCAGCTTGCAACTCAACTACAGAATCCTTGCTGGGGTCCCCATTGTCTCCACCCCTCAACCCTCACCTGAGAGGGTGTCAGGCCCTGGACCCCCATCCTCAAGACATCGCAGCTCCAACACAAAGGTCTCTGTTGTGGGGCCCAGTTCCATCCTGGCGGTCTCACCAGCGTCCTTGGGAACAGGCTGTGCTGAGAGCAAGAAAGGAAGCTGTTCAGGAGGGAGATGGTGATGGCCGAGGCCCATTCCTACACAGAAGAGCCAGAGCTGTTATTTGCTGGATATACCCAGTGATCCACCTCAGCTGACCAGCAACCTTCCTGCCTCCCTGGGAAATGTAACTGTGGGAAACAGCCTCTCCCAAGGCTGGGACGCTTGAGGCACGCCTGAGGGGACCCATGGCACGGTCCCTTGGCCCCTTCCAAAATATGACCATCCCCCAGGCTTCAAAGGCCACATAATATCAGGTGTCATCCCAGGTCCCTGGGAAGGTAGGAGTCCAGAGCACTGTCATCACGGCTGGGGCCTTCTGCAGGCCTGTGCTCCTGTCCTGAGTCCACTCTGAAGAAGTGGTCTCCACATTCAGGCGTCCCCACCCCCCCATGCCAGCAGACTCCATCTCCCTCTGGTTTAGAAGCCCTGGGTAGAGAAACGCCCCTGTGCCCAGCAAGGTTGCCAGGCCTCACCTGGAAGAGCATTTCCCGCCTGCTGCAGTCTCTGCGCAAGGGGAGGTGTGGTCACCAGTGGCTATAAGGTGAAGGCCACGGCTCTTCAGCCAGCTCCTTCCGGAGGTGCCTCCATCTAGAATGAGTCAAGGAGGTTCTGACCGCCCACCGGGGAATCCTTGGCAGGCACTCCGCGGGGTCTTCGCTGTCAGAGCTGCTGAGGTCCCCCTGGGCCAAGACAAGGTGCAGAATGGAGTTGCCAGGCAGAAGTTGGTGGAGACTCTCACGTAGGAACGGGGAAGGAAGGCAGGGCTCCAAATCCCGAACAGGGATCAGGGTTGGTCCGGGTGACCATGGCGTGCAGCAGGGCCCAAGCTGGAGCCCTAGGTTGCCTCAGTGGGAACCGGGTGACAAGGGTCCTGGGCAATCACGGGCCACAGGTGCCCAGGGGCGGGGGGGCGGGGGGCGGGCGCCTCGGACCAGCCAGGTCCCGGGTCGCTCGCCCGCCCTCCGGTGATGTGCGTCCGTGCGGGAAACGGCCGGGTTGGGGCGGGGGCGCTGGGGGGCCGACACAGGAAGTCCCCCCGGCATCCGCATCCTGTCCCCCGCCCCTGCTGCCTGCCGCGCCCCCTCGCCCCGGTCCCCGCCACTACCACCGTGGCCGCTGCCTTCGCCTTCGCCACGGTCGCCGCCGCTCTAGCCCGCGCCGCCAGCTCTGTGAGCTTAACCCTTGCCGGCCTGGTCACTCACCAGGGCCCCCCGGGTAGGTGTGGGTGGGTGGGGATGGGGACAGGATGCTTGGCCCTGCTTGCTTCCCGGAGCTCGCCGGTGCTGGGCGCGTAGCGCACGCTGCTGCAACGCATCGCCTAGTGCGGTGCGCGTGTCCGTGCGCCACGGTTGGTGACTGTCACTGAGGCTGCATGAATGGAAGAGGAAAGGGGTTCCTAGCCGACACCACCAATGTCCTCTGAAGCGTTGGCGTGGCTTCAGGGCACCCCTCCCCGGACAGGGGTACAAATTTGGTCTAATTAGCACTTAATTAACCAGTTAGTGGGGAAGACCCCTCCTGATTCCAGCAGGTCCAGAACTGCCAACCCGGCCCACACCTGGAACCTTGAGTTGGTTAGGATAGACAGGTGGCAACTGTGCCAGTTCCAGAAGGGCCATCTTCGGGAGCTGGGGAACCGAGCCTTGTCTCTTTGGGTTCTTCTCCCTCCAGTAACCCCAGGCCCTCCCTCCTCCAGCTTCCGTCCTTCTCCAGGCTCTTCGTCCATCGTTCTGAGCCATGGCTTCCCCAGGGGCTTCTCCCTGTTTGCTAGTTACCTTAACTAGTTGTTTCCTGGGGGCGGGAATGGGGTGGGGTTGGGAGTATTTCCTCCCCCAGGAGGTTTGAGCTAACCATCTGCATATCCCCTCCCCCAGTTTTTTAATAAATTTTTATTGATATTTATTGAGCTCTACATTTTTCTCTGCTCCCCCCCTTCAACCCTCCCCCAAGGTCCCCATGCTCCCAATTTACTCAGGAGATCTTGTCTTTTTCTACTTTCTACTTCCCATGTAGATTAGATCTGTGTAAGTCTCTCTTAGTGTCTTCATTGTTGTCTAAGTTCTCTGGGATTGTGATTTGTAGGCTGGTTTTCTTTATGTTTAAAAACCACCTATGAATGAGTACATGTGATAATTGTCTTTCTGTGTCTGGGTTACCTCACTCAAAATAATATTTTCTAGCTCCATCCATTTTCCTGCAAAATTCAAGCTGTCATTTTTTTCTGCTGTGTAGTACTCCATTGTGTAAATGTACCACATTTTCCTTATCCATTCTTTTGTCGAGGGGCATTTAGGTTGTTTCCAGGTTCTGGCTATGACAAACAAAGCTGTTATGAAATAGTTGAGCACATGTCCTTATGGCACAATTGAGCATCCTTTGGATATATACCCAAAAGTGGTATTATTGGGTCTTGAGGAAGGTTGTTTCCTAATTTTCTGAGAAATCACCACACTGACATCCAAAAGGGTTATACCAGCTTGCATTCCCACCAGCAATGCAGAAGTGTTCCCTTTTCCCCACAACCTCTCCAGCATAAGTTGTCACCAGTGTTTTTGATCTTGGCCATTCTTACAGGAATCTCAGAGTTGTTTTGATTTGCATTTCTCTGATGACTAAGGATGTTGAGCATTTCCTTAAGTGTCTTTCAGCCATTTTAGATTCCTCTGTTGAGAGTTCTCTGTTTAGGTCTGTACTCCATTTTTTTTATTGGATTATGTGATCTTTTGGTGTCCAATTTCTTGAGTTCTTTGTATATTTTGGAGATCAGGCCTCTGTCTGGTGTGGAGTCAGTGAAGATCTTTTTCCATTCTGTGGGCTGTCGTTTTGTCTTGTTGACCATGTCCTTTGCTCTACAGAAGCTTTTCAGTTTCAAGAGGTCCCGTTTATTAATTGTTTCTCTCAGTGTCTGTGCTGCTGGGGTTATATTTAGGAAGTGGTTCCCTGTGCCAATGCGTTCAAGTGTACTTCTCATTTTCTCTTCTATAAGGTTCAGTGTGGCTGGCTTTATGCCTTCGATCCATTTGAACTTGAGTTTTGTGCATGGTGATAGATATGGGTCTATTTTCATTCTTCTACATGTTGATATCCAGTTATGCCAGCTCCACTTGTTAAATATGCTTTCTTTTTTTCCATTTGATATTTTTTGCTTCTTTATCAAAGATCAGGTGTTTGAAGATGTATGGATTGATATCAAGGTCTTCTATTCGGTTCCATTGGTCCTCCTGTCTGTTCTTATGCCAATACCAGGTTGTTTTCAGTACCGTAGCTCTGTAGTAGAGTTTGAAGTCAGGGATTGTGATGCCTCCAGTTCTTTTATTGTACAGGATTGTTTTGGCTATCCTGGGTTTTTTGCTTTTCCAAATGAAGTTGAGTGCCGTTCTTTTGAGGTCTTTGAAGAATTTTGCTGGGATTTTGATGGGCATTGCGTTGAATCTGTAGATTGTTTTGAGTAAGACTGCCATTTTTACTATGTTAATTCTGCCTACCCAAGAGCATGGGAGATCTACTTTCTGGTGTCTTCTTCAATTTCTTTCTTCAAAGATTTAAAGTTCTTGTCATACAAGTATTCCACTTGTTTGGTTAGAGTTACTCTGAGATAATTTATGCTATTTGTGGCTATTGTGAAGGGTTTTGATTCTCTGATTTTTTTCCCCAACCCTTTTATCATCTTTGTACAGGAGGGCTACTGATTTTTTTGAGTTAATCTTGGATCCTGCTACATTGCTGAAAGTGTTTGAGTTGTAGAAGTTCCTTGGTAGAATTTTTGGGATCACTTACGTAAACTATCATATTATCAGCAAACAGTGAGAGTTTGACTTCTTTTCCAATTTGTATCCCCTTGATGTCCCTTTGGTGTCTTATTGCTCTAGCTAGGACCTCAAGAATTATATTGAATAGATATGGAGAGAGTGGACAACCTTGTCTTGTTCCTGATTTCAGTGGAACTGCTGCCCTCTCCCAGTTTTAATGCAGGCCACAGGCTTCTTCCATCTGGAAAATTCACATAAGAAGCATTGCCCAAGTTCTCTTGAGAAGAGGCTGGGGATGTGGCTCAGTTAGCAGAGTGCTCGCCCTGGTGCTCACAAAGCCCTGGGTTTCACCTCCAGTAGTGCCTAAAACCCACATGGTGGTACATGCCTGTCATTCCAGAACTCAGTAGGAAGATCAGGAGTCCTAGGTTATCCTTGGCTACTGGGCACATCTGAGGCCAGCCTGGACTACATGCGACACAGTATAGAAGAAGGAGAAGGAAAAAAACAAAAAACAAAACCACCAACGGCTGAAAAACTCAAAGGTCTGGCAAACCAGAGCTGCCAATGAGGCGAAGTGTAGATGTCCCTGGTGGGGTACAAGAACCCTCTGTGCGCTCACAGTCCCGCTCGTCTTCCTGTCTCCCAGCAGATACACTGAGCCACGGGTGCAACAGTAAGGACCCAGACTTGGAAAGCAGGAAAATTTGGCGTCATAAGGACCTCTGGTAGTTAGGTAACTTGAGGCACCATAGAGCTTTCCAGCGGTGAAAGTAGAGACAGGCTGCCAGGAAGCATCTAAGGACAACTGAGCAGACAGTGGACATACGGGTAAAGAATGGGCGTGCCTTCTTCCACTGCCCTAACTGGATGGGAGCCTCTTCCAGAGACCTCAGTCTCCAATGTTTCTCTCCTCCCTGAATCGGTTGTGTGTGTGCGTGCATTATGTATGTGTGCGTGTGTGTGCACGTATGTGTGTCATCCACATGCTCATTTAAAGGAGCCAGAGGAAGATGTTGGGTGCTCTCCGTTTATCACACTCCAGCTTATTCCCTTGAGACAGAGTATCTCACCGAACGTGGAGCAAGGCCAGCAGCCAGCCAGGACCAGCTTTCTCTCATCTCTGCCCCAGTCCAACCCTAGGGTTACAGGCACAAGAGTATCCATGGCTGGTTTTTTACATGGGTGCTAAAGATTCGAACTCAGGTCCTCATGCTTGCCCTACAAACTCTCTCACCCACTGAGCTATCTCCTAGTGCCCTGTCCCTGGATTTTTTACCTCTCCCTCTCCTTGCTGCTGGATTCTTTCCAGAAGCATTTGCACATCCACGGGACCAGGCAGTTCCCACTGCTCCCTCATCTGCCCATCCCTCCTTCCCTTCTCCCACCTGGCACGAGCCCCGTCACTTCCCTAGACAACTCTCCCTCTCATGGGACCAGCCACCTCCACTGTTGGAGAGTCACCCAGGAAGGGAGCATCAGTGAGGAACTGACTAGATCAGGTCACCCTGTGGACACATCTGTGAGGGATTTTTCTGGGTTGTGATGGAAAGCCCCATCCTGTATGTGGGCAGCTCCACAAAAAGGTAACTCCATAATGCCTATAAAACTGTTTAGAAAAAATTTATTTTGAACACATGAAAGGAAAATTTAGAGATATCCCCCAAATAAAACACAGAAGATCCTTTCCAAGGTGATGGGGAATCCCAACAGGTGTCCCTGAGCAGTGCCCAGTGCTGCGCACAAGCATGGGTCTCTCCCTCCGCACTCTGAGCTCACGGAGCTGCGGAAACCGTGCGCTGGTTGCAGAGACACGGCACATTCCTGAGGCAGGGCAAATGGACCCGAGGGGCGGCTTACCCGCCAGCGTTCCCTGGTGGCGGGCTGAGTGTGCACGAGTGCCACCGTCACTCGAGACTGGCATATTTAACACCCGCAGTGCTCTCTGCGGAGGGCTAAGTGCACTCCCTTTCATCCATCCAATCTGGATATTTAACATGACCAGGCAGGAGGCACCTGGGCACCAGCAACTTGGGACATCAGTACCAAGATGGTTCTACCAGCTGGAGAGACCACCTGCTGCCTCCCAAGGGTTCTTGTCCCTGGGACCAGCATCCCTCTCTCCGAAGGCGGAATTCCTTGGCCCAGGTGCAAGGCACACAGCCGCTTGGCGGCTTAGAAGAGCAGCCTAGCGGATGGGCCTGAATGGAAACGTCACGCCTGAGATGAAGGTGTACCCTGGGTGTGTAGGCAGAGCTGGGTGGGCAGCTGGGTGGGCTGGCACAG